GATCGTGACTGAGGGTGGCATTGTAACCTCCTGATCTGCCCTGCTCTGTGCATGACAGGGGGCGGCGCCCCAACTCCCCAATCAGCCCTGCTCTGAGCCCAACCAGGGGCTGCACCTAGGGATTGGGCCTGCCCTCTGCCACCCGGGAGCAGGCCTAAGCCAGCAGGGCGTTATCTCCCGAGGGGTCCCAGACTGCAAGAGGGCACAGGCCGGGCTGAGGGACCCCTTTCTTCCCCCCGAGTGCACAAATTTTTGTGCACCTGGCCTCTAGTTTCTCTATAATTGAAAAGGATAGGGCCATTCTAGTGATAAGGAAAACAGTGAGATATATGTGACTGAGTATATTAAAACAGGATCATTATACATTGAGAAGAAAATATAATAAAGTACCATTTATTATGGCAATGTAAACCAAGCACCCACAACCTAAAACATTACCACTTATAGCTCCTTTGAGAGGCGGTGAGCCTCAGATTAATCTGAGCACAACACAACAGAGAGGCTAGGAGCAACCTTCTAGTCATTACTTATAGGAGAATATAGAGACATATATTTTTAAGCAATTCTCTTTGACACATTAAAAATACTATAGCTACAGTCTCCTTAAAGCATGGAAAAACATACATTTTGTTTTGAAATAAATGAAAAAATAATTACCTCGTCTTTACATATCAGATAAACATGATATTTATAATGATGGAGTGAATGATACAAAGAATATAGCTGTATTTTCTCTGGATCAACAGCAAACTCCTGTAACAAGAAAACAGTTTAGAGATATATTTATTTCATGGAGCAGCTGAGCTAAGAACACTTTTATAAAAATGGTAGGCTAAAAGTTTCAAAGGAAATATTAAAAGTGATTTGTATGGCTAGATATTAGCTCGTATTAATAAGCTGCTATTAATAAGAGGCTTATTCAAAATAAGAATTTAAATTGTATTTTTAAACCTTCACTTTTTTTCCTGAACATAAATATACATTACTTCAAAATATTTAACCATTATAGAAAAGTTTAAACAGTGAAGATATAAGATGATTTATAAAGTAAAAGAATCCTATAATTTCTTGGTTCAGAGATAAACAAGATTAACAAAATGTTATATGTTTTCCTCCATGTATAACATATATTTCTATAACTTCTTTTTTAGCCTAACTAAAACATGGGTATCTGTTTATTACATACTCCATCCCCAATATAAATTAAATGAGGGTAGGAAATTTTGACCCTTTTTCACTGTTGTATTCTTAGTACTTAGAACTGTATTTGGCATACTACAAGCACTAAAAAAAACCCCAAAAACTTTATTGAAAGAATGAATGAATCTATCACTTCTTTTTCTGAATAGGCATTAATTTAGACTATGCTTGAAAATGAATCAATTTCAATTTTAACAATTTTGCAGATATGTGGTCAACACTAAATCTTTTTTTTAAAAAATATATTTTATTGATTTTTCACAGAGAGGAAGGGAGAGAGATAGAGAGTTAGAAACATCGATGAGAGAGAAACATCGATCAGCCGCCTCCTGCACATCTCCTACTGGGGAGGTGTCCACAACCCAGGTACATGCCCTTGATCGGAATCGAACCCGGGACCTTTCAGTCCGCAGGCCGACGCTCTATCCACCGAGCCAAACCGGTTTCGGCAACACTGAATCTTATTGAATGTGTGCACACTCATTTATCTGTATGCATTTGTATCCAATGACAAAAAAAAACTATAAAATATACATACAAGCATGGTATATGTCCTTGCTTACTAGGCTATTTAAAAATTTTTTGAGCACTTACTATATACCAGATACTGTGCTAGGTAATGGAGAGAAACAAAGAATAAGACGGAATCCCTGCTTTTTAGGCCAGAGCGGCTCATTCCTACCTGAAAATAATTCAAATTTAACAACAATATAGAATAGTAGAATATTTGCCTGCCTCAATGTTTTAATTAGAATTATATTAACAACTGGAAGAGGTATAATAACATCAATCAATATATACTTACTTGTGCAGATTTAATGGTTGTTTTAGAAGTCCTTAGAGTTTTCTTATTATAAGCTTTGCCATTCATTTTGATTTTAGAAACAGCAGATCCCCCACTTTTTGCTTTAGAGTCTCGAGTAATTATTGTTAGTTCAGGAAAACTTTCCAAAGCATTCTTTAAAATAAAGCAAAAATAATTGACATCAGAATAAAACTAATTTACACTCCTCATAGCTACTCAAATTTACTTTAAAAAATATATAAACGTTCACATACATGTACATATACACACAAATATATATATATATATATATGGAACACTGATTGGGTGTGGCATATATGATATTCAAATACACACATACACGGGAGTGTTAAACATGGCCAAATTCTTTGCAGCTCCCCCCATCAAGATGTGAATCTTAACTATATTTATGGTGATCATTTTGCAGTATAGACAAATATTGAATCCTTGCTATTCACCTGAAACTAATATGTTATATACAATTATACCTCAAATAAAAACATGTAGATTCTATTTCCCCATCCCTTGAATCTGGGTCAACCTTATGACATGCTGTAAGCAACCCCACATGACACTGTGGGAACTCCTGAATGAGGCAGAAAGTTCTTTGCAATAATGCCTTTCTGGTTTCAATATAGGGGAAAGAGGGACATATACAAATGCTTTTAATTTATGATGGGGTTATATTCTGATAAACCCATGCTAAGTTGAAAATACTGTAAGTTGAAAATGCATTTACCACTACACTACAGAGCATTGTTGTTTAACCTTGTGATCACAAGGCTAAGTGGGATTTGTGGGTCCCTGCTGCTGCCCAGCATTATAAGAGAGTATCATACCACATATTGTAGCCCAAAAGGTCAAAATTCAAAACTCGAAGTATAGCTTCTACTGAATTCATATATCTTTTACACCATCTTAAAGTAAAAAAATTAAGTCAGACCATTGTAAATCTACTGAAGTTTCTTCAAAGTTCTACCAATTGAACCACTGTTAACACTCTAAAACTTGGTCAAGTCCTGGATCAGGGCAAGAAACAAGTGTTGTAATGTTCCTTTGGCTTCACCACTTCTCTTGCTTCTTTTGACTATAGGAAACGCAGTTGTGAAATAAAAGTGTAAAACAGAGTTTGATGAGTTTTGTGACCACAATGATACAATAGTTATCACTGATAATTTAGTGGCCATATGGCAGAACCAATTCTAGTCCATTCTTTAAAAGTCACTGGCGTATTTATGCCCTTACCTACTTGGCAAATCATCCTGACATGAAAAGTTACAAACAATAATTGAAGCCTGGCCACAGTGGGCTCAATGGTTGAGCATCAATTTATGAATCAGGAGGCCACAGTTCGATTCCCAGTTATGGCAAATGCCCGGGGTGCGGGTTTGATCCCCAGTGTGGGGTGTGCAGGAGGTAACTGATCAATGATTCTTTCTCATCATTGATGTTTCTAGTTCTCTCTCCCTCTCCCTTCCTCTCTGAAATCAATAAAAATATATTTTAAAGAAATAATTGAATATTTGTAGCTAAATTTAACTAGTTTGAATAGTTTTTAAAAATTGAGCTACTAGCATCATTTAATATTTTGATACTAAAAGGGTTCAAGAGTCCACATTATCTTTATTTCCCCCCATTACATTTATTATACAAACTAGAGGCCCAGTGCACAAATTCGTGCATGGGTGATCAGAGCCAGCTGGCCAGGGGGAGGTACTGCGGGAGGTTGGCCAGCTGCGGGAGTGCACTGACCATCAGGGAGCAACTCCTGTGTTGAGTGTCTGCACCCTGGTGGTCCGAGTGAGTCATAGCTACTGGTCGTTCAGTTCCGCCTTAACGGTCGCTTAGGCTTTTATATAATTGTACTTCTCATTTGATAAACTGAACTGTTTTATAAACAGTCACAACCTTCAAGGCCACTCTTTTCAAACCCCGTGTGAGTTCCCAAACACCTGGTATTCCCAACAACGCATTTTTAAACAGAGACCCTAATGTTTTTATATATAAGTGTAGGAGGGAACTAAGTTTCATTTAATAGACACAATAGAATTTTTACTATTTCCTACCAGAGTGAGCTATCACTAATTTCTAGCTTCATTTTCTTAGATTATTTGTGCTAGTATATACTCTGGTGTTTTCCTTATAAAACATGCCCAGGCTTGAATTACTCTTTATAACAAATGGAATTTAAAGACCAAAAAAAAATAAATAAATGGATTTTACATTTGGGAACAATGAACACTAGGTCAGTGTGCAGACGAAAGGAGAAAACTTAAGTGCTCTTTCTAATAAGCACAAGATGCTAAAGATGACTAGAAGTAAATAGGATTCAGAGGAAACAGATCATTAACTTCAAAAAGCTTTAGGATTCCTAAAATTACCAGGATCATCATGGGAAGTGGGGTTATTTCTAAAGAATAGAAAATATTTTATAATCTACTGTTTGTAATATTTTATATCAAATCATTCTAAATTTTAGTACTGTTTGTGTATGTAGCTTAGAAATGGCTATAAATGAAAATTATCAAAATTAACTAATTTTTAAAATTTTGTTTTTTTCTGTGAAAATAAGAATATCAAAACTAATTTTTCACTTGCTTATCATAAACTATTACATAAGTGTTAAATATCTACTGAATCTATTAAATTTCAAGTGGTAGCTTCATTTTAATGCAAGTTATTAGATAACTGGTTTGATATTTAAAACATGGTTAGCCAAAACTGGTCACTATTAAGATTTAATAAATCTTTAGAAAACACACATCTAAGAATATTCTCTTGTCTCTAGAAACATGGTATTTCCCAAAGGATATTTCATTTGAAGAACAGTTAAGTGGAAAATACTTGACTAGGAGTCAGTAGACCAAATTCTTAGTAATGAGCTTCTTACCAACTTTGGACA